CATTAACAGTTTTGAGTAATGTGATTGTATGAAGTTTGGATTTTTGCTTTTCAGTCTACTTCAAAGGCAGAAATCGGGTACAGTTTGGCAAGGCAACAAGTGCGCTCTCTTGTGACTTTAAGTCAACAAATACGCAACACCTGTAGTCCTGTAATGTGTCTACTTAAAATGATTTGGTTTTTATATCTTAATCGGACCCGATAAGGAAATTCTTTAAAGCATAACGAAGTAAATTACAACACTACGCGTTTCCGTGTCAATGTATCAGAATATTCCTAATTATTGTCGATATCCTACTACTTACTTACACGTTCAAAGGGCGAATTTTCCATTTCCAAATGAGGAGAAACCATCAACCAATCATAATTCGGGGAAAACGTAACTTAACGCGAATCTATCACGAGCCACCACGCCCCGGGGAAGTCGGGCAAACACCGACCCTCCGCTAATCTAATATTAAACACATTCGGATATTAGATACAAAGTGAGCATTCACAGAATTTAATAATCCCGCTCCCACACCTATACACACCTCCCTTTCACTCGAACACGTCTGTCTCGCTCTCACATGAATTATTAACAACAATTTTATGATTACATTTAGCATTGAGTGTAAGTGCGGGCGGGACGTGATACGAAAGTCGAATGGCCGGTGAAAAATGGCGGGAAAACGTTGCCAGTTAATATTTTATTGGTTTCGATAGGTTTGAGTTATGTAAGTCAGCTGGGGGTTCCGGTAATTTTCAATTTTGTGCCTGAAATATTGATAAGCCGAAGTCCCCGGTGTTCAGTTTATTGGATCACTTGAAGATGATTTGCAGTTTCCAACATTGCGGCACTTAATGCACACACCAAGTACGTTTCCATTTGTTACGATTCAAGAGGGAGTCTTAAAAACCCATGCATATTTAATGTAACACTAGATTTAAGTGCTAATCAAAAGTGTCTAAACATTAGCACACAATGCCTATAAAACTAGTCCTAAATAAACTACGTCAAACGAACATAAACACCTAATCAAATTACATTCACACTAACAAATAACTTATAACTTACAAAGTCATATAGAAAAAACCCATCAAAAACGACGCGAGCCTGTTTAGCATACGACAATGCGTAAAGCTTGTTATTAGCACGCAAAAAACATGTAGGCAACGCGACTAGACTTCGCCGACACCCGGATAGCTCTAGAACAGAATATTCCAAACACACAGACGTCCAGTCAGCGGTCATTTTACTCGTGGATTGAATACCAAGTTACCGACAGAATTCTGACGAAAATAGAAGCGAACAGCCACAGGCCGTAATTGTGTTCCACGTTCATATTTACCCCCAACCTCCTCAAGGGGGCCGTAATACAATAATCGTCATATTTTGTACGAGTTACACTTGAACCTCTTTTGGTTAAGAATTACTTTCTAATTTACTGTTGCAGGCACTTGCATTTTAGGGTTAAATTTTATATTGTTTATACTCCTTTAGAATTAGGGTTATTTTTATAATCTTGGTCTTCAATGACTTATGACAAAGATGACTTAAATTTCACATAGGTATAATTCTATTTATAACCTAATCCTAAGATTAACTCGGGTCCTAACAAGCGATAATTACGCAAATAAACCAATAGGACACGATGAAAAGAGCAAGAAACCCATTAAAGGAACACCTGGCAAACAATATGCTTTATTTAAATAAGTAATCAACATAAAACTGCTGGCTCACACGACGCCATTAGCATTACGACCAACTAGATTTAATTCACACGTGAAAACCCTAGGAGGTTCTTAAAATTCTATGGTTTTTCTGGCCCTATGCCAGGGCAATAGGAAATTGCCAGTTGCCCGAATAAGTGAACACATGAAACAATTTTACTTTAACGACATTATTCCCTGTAGTAACACAGGACCAAAGTATTCATATCATTTAAATAGCCTGACAATTAAGGATGAATCACATTCGTCTGTCACATTTCGTCTACCAATCAGGAATATTTTTGAAAGGCTGGCAGAATAATTTTCGTCCATGTCAATAAACATGGCGGCACAAAAAAAATCATCTGCACAAGTGTCAACGATTGACAATTAGCAGCATCGTCCTGTCTGATCCAAAATTTTCGCATAATTGTCATTCGGTAATTGAAAAACGCAATTATGAACGCCGAGAGCGTCAGTTAATTAATATTAAATTCTGAAATAATCGGCCTGCTCTCCCCTACACCCCCTCCCCGGGGACACAGGGGGCATGGACTGATTGAATTATAGGCAAATTTTGAATTTTGAATAATTCACGGGAGTGAGTTAGCCCTTTATGGCACGCGGGAGGAGGACGAGTGAATTTTTGGTTTAATTAGTCTGCTTATTGTTTTGGGTGGAAATGGGTTTTGTGGTCCTAATTGTTTTTGGCATCTTTTTGTTTAATAGTGTTGGAGCGATAAAGATTTAATTGCATTCGTATAAATAATAAAGACGTTCTATCTGACATAATAATTGTATTTATTATAGTAGTAGGTACGTTAGATAATAGTGAAACAATATTTATGGCATCTTTTTCTGACAAGTAATAATTGTGACCTAATAACTAATGATTTATTATATCAATATGTTAAAAGCACAATAACTGTTAACTTCTTAACCTTAGATAGGCGTAACTGAATCATATTATTTTTTCCACTCGTAAGAGACGTCGCTAGCTGACACGAGACGGTTCGCAATCCGCAAAACACTGATATATTACGCAATTACTGGCTCCCCGTGAATAGAACAGAAAAACGTTGAAAACAAAATGGTTCCTAGTTACAGATCAGTACGGACGCTGCGGCTTCACAAAATTCAATTTGGCCAGCATTTCGTTCTACCGCCGCGCGCCGTGCGACAAACCAAACAATTACACATACGTGTGTCGAAAGCATAATTTTTCCACAAAAACTACGTGGAAATGTGAAAAAAATACACTCGCTGACGCTTTGTTAGTTTTTCGCGCCAACGCGTCGGCCATTTTTGACAGCTGTCAAACGCTGCGCTAGTGATTGCGTCTTTTGTAGTCGCACCTTTTTTGAGACACGTATTTTTTACGTGGAAAAATCAAAACGTCACCGCGCCTGAATATTTTGAATCGTAAATATGAATAGCACAATGTAATCCCACACAAATTACCAGCGCATAGGAATATGAAAGCGATAAACCGAGATGCATCGGCGATACGTGCACACAATCCTGTCTCATTTCAATACCTATTGTGAGGTCGGCGCTAGTGTTGTAACGTCGTAACGTCCCGTTCTACGGACACCCATCAGTCATTTACGAATGAATACATGACAATCGATCGAGATACGTAAGGTAACATGTCCCCGCTGAGTGACGACGGATTCTCCAACTCGTGGCGGATATCTGAACGTTGACAAACGTGTGGCTAGCGCGGCCGGCGACTTCTTTTTACAAAATTTAAGCAGAAGAACTTTGACGTGTGATAGTGACGTGACGATGTGGACCTGTCAGTTTTCAATTGGCTCTCAAAGGGTGTTGACGTGCCGAGTCGGATCTAGATCCAAGTGCGGACATGTTAATTGTTATGAACGAAGCGTAGGAGTCACATAAACACACCCCTGACGTTTATTCGCTTTCTAAACGTATTTGCGTGTAATCCGATATCAGTTTTTAGAATACGGAACCTACGCGGCCTATGAAACTTGATCGCTGTTCGTTAATCGATATAGATAATCGTATATTCCGATGAGAATCGATTACTAAAACGGATACAAGTAGTTTACTAAGTTGCAATAGTAAACATCATTAGGTATGATATGCAGTGAAGCGAGGCGATAGCTCGTAAAAGATAGTTTCTGTTGCAGCAAGAAAATATGCAATGATCGTTAAAATTTACATATTATGATGAGATACCGACTAATCACGAGGTTTAAGTAATTTTAGTGTTTTAGTGATGGATTCCTGTTGAGATTACTCTAGCTTTTGCAATAATTATCATCATAGGTTGATACATTTTGTAACAACTCAAATTACATGTGCAACCTTCATTGGGATATAGAATTAATCTTATGAACAAATGTACAATCAAGGTTGTCGCAGAAGGCCTTTGTCAATTTTACATGAGCTAACTGAAGATTGAACACCCTATCGCGAAATACTGGCCATGAATATTATTTACAATCTACAACGGTTTTTTAAAATTAGAATTTAGAAAACTTTTACTTCGAAAAACCAAAATTGAAGCAGAGTCTGTGCTTGACAATCATAAAGTCCATTTAATATTGTCTGAATATTGTAACGCCAATCCACACTTGTACTCGACCCCTAATACCAATAACGTAATGTTGCAACAAGACGGCGAAAAGAAAAAAATAATTTATGTTCAAATAATGAGCATTTAACCAAATGAATGTTATTGCCCGGTTAAGGTGTTAAATTAACATTCAACGCCGGACACGAATGATTATTTCATCCTTTTACTGTCTAATTACGGAAATTCTTAAATATCGCAATTAAAATGTTTATTGGTCATCAATTTTGACTAAATTTCGAATTCCTTTTACTTTTTTATGCTTTTTACCAATCTATTGCAACATTTTCGGATCAAAATGAAACTGCCATAAATATTACTGATTTTGAAGGAACTTTATAATCAATTGTATTTAGTTTTCCTACATGAGTTTTATGAGTTTATAATCAGCTGTATTTTAATAGTACCTTTACAAGATTAATAACGAATACCAAAACCTTTCCACGAACTTAGATTCGAATTGACGACATTGTTTGCAGGTCAACTATATCTTTAAAGTACAGCATCACTCATAGGTGATTCTTTTTTAACTTAAAAAATATTAATTTCGTGTCCAGGCTACCAGGATATCATATGTGTTAGAAATACGAGTCTAACTTTGTTACAAAATGCAATTAAATCAATAAAAAAAATTCACTACGTCATAAAACAAAACGTGGATTTCATAGTCCAAGGTACCAAGACAACATAAATGTAAGGAAGCTTACCTGGATCTGTCGCGTCGAGTGTCTGCGGCGGGGGCTGGCTGAGAGGTCCAGGAGTGCCTCCGGAGCCAGGAGAACGAACGTCATCGTTCACCGCTCCTCCGTATGACAAGGACGATGATGGCGGTCTCTGTAAACAAGAGAGAGATGAAGATATTAGCCTTGATAGAATGTTGACTATGAACCTTGGGTCACTGACTTAAGACTTAAGTTGTGTTGACTTGGAAAGTTTCCATAATCAAAGAACCTAGATACCTATTGACAATTGTAAATTTTCCTTTAGATTTTCCTTGCTAAGTCCATACTAAATTATATATCAAGTGGTTGAACAGATATGCAGATTGAAACTTATGGAGTTTCTCGCTCGTTCTTCTCCTTGGGAATCTACACCTTGGAATGAGCAACTAGCTTCACTTCTAAATTTTTGTTGTTGACGATCAAAAGTGCCTTGCTGGTCTAATTGAAATAAATGATTTTTAAAATATATTGCATAGTTACTTCTACATAGATATTTTGGCCATACATGGTCTCGAAATCGAGGGAGATTAGTAGGCACCAACGTATTAACTTTTTCTGTTCAAAAACTCACGTCCACTGCCTACACCCGTATCTAAACAGCAACTATGGTATATTTATATCAATTATTGTATTAAACATAATTTTGGACCCCTGACAATCGATTCAGTGAGGTCAATGAGGCGAGGCGGCTAACAGTGACTGTTCAGCCGTGACTAAATAGTTGAAGCAAAAAAAAACGACATATTTATTTTGTTTAGAGTTAGAAAACTATTGGGTTGTGTTAGGAAATTAATGTGTGATCATATTTTTGGAAATTGGGCTTCAAATTGTTACAGAAATGGTAATGATGTTGCTTGTAATCACTGTTTTTGGTTGTTATACATGACAATTTAGAATTCTTACATTTGGAGTCAAACAACTGACGATTATTGTTCTCTTCGACAAGAATATGACGTTGTAAAATCCACACACACCACATACGTTTATGAATAATTTCTATTCTATCACAGCTATAATAATTGTATTTTACTTACATCCATCTTCTAGTTTAATCTAATTTTAATCTGACACTATCACAAAATGATAACTTTCTTCTTGAAATCCTTTTACACCACTGGGTAACATTTTGCAAATCATAACCAATAACTATTTCCTATCCCACCCTCAATTAAAAACAGACTTCGTAAACACGTTAATTAAAGCGTTCGGCCATTGTCGTAACACTTCGGGTATTGTCGTAATACTTCGGAAGCGATCGGGTAATGAGGCGGCGCGCACGCCACTCCGCCATTAGACAGCATATGAGCAACACCTGCCTTACATTGGCAGTAATGGTCAGGTTATGCAATAAGGAAGTATGCTAATATTAAGGAGACTTATTTATGGCATTTGGTAAAATATTTGCGAAATTATTTTGATATAATTTGAATATCGTTTTTTAATAATATCTTCTGATTTATTTCGTTGCGGGAAGCAAGACAATTCATGTCTCTGGGACGCGCCGGACTTCAGTGGTCCGGTGTTTTCATGGTTGTATCTACTGTAGACTGCCTCGTTGGCGTCGAATAGTGACTGCTGGGCAAGAGGTCTCAGGTTCGATTCCCGGGTCGAACGCAAAGTATTACTCGGTTTTGTAAAAAAATCTCAGTAGTAGCACGGAGCCTGGAATTGTGCTCGGTATATGGCAATAGGCTCACCCCCTATTATATGGCACTTATAACATTTAAGTTTCCTTTTGTTTTCTTTGCAGCCTGCAAACTATTCCCCTTGATGGATAAAGTCCTCTTCTCATGATGAATGATCACCACGCTTTCCTAATGTGAATTGACAAGTTATGACTTCATTTTTAAATCATTGTAGACTACAAAACTTATTGCACTCTGTTCTACAACTAAAATTACAAAAAGTAATAAAACCTTTTTCTCATTCATGTATGTTCGTACCATAATTCTAATTACCATACAAATGATAAATAGTCAGCCATTCGGCTTACCAGTAATTACCGAAAAAACTTAGATTTAATTGTGTGTGTGATTGGTAACTAACGATCGTTACGACTTAACTGATGTATAACTTGCATTTAACTTAATGACTTGGTGTAATGGATTTAATGATTTCTCTATGATATGTATCACATGCCTCCTTGGTCGTTGGCCGGGTAGTCGCGAGTGTGACTGTTAGAGAACCTAACAGATTACCGGGGCTCCGGCTCGACGTGCAGGAGAAGGAACGGGGTGGTTTTTAGTCAGTAAGAGTCTGACACTCCCTCCCGCCTCACCCAGGCGGAAGCAGTCAATCGATGATTTTCCCACCTTAAAAAAAGTTTGACTGCTAGGCAAGGGTGTCTCCCGGGTCAGGCAAAGTAATACTGGGTTTTCTCAGTAGCTGCACGGAGTCTGGAATGGTGCCCGGTATATAGCAATAGGCTCACCCCCTATTACGTGGGATTCATAACATAAATAGTGAGCAGTGGGTGTTATATTGTACAGTGGCATTAAGTGCCGTAATGAGCACCTCTGCTCTACCCTGTCGGGGATAAAAAGTGTGATGTTAAGTGTTTATTACATGGACCTCATAACATAGCTGGTTTTATGGGATAAGCCGGTAAACGAGCAGACAGTTCACCTGATGGTAAGCAATTGGCGCCGCCCATGGACACTTGAAACACCAGAGACGTTACAAGTGCTTTTTGCGAAATGGGAATTTGAGGATAGTGAAGACTAGGGAGAGGGGTAATTGGGCCTCCGAAAACCGGTAAGTGGATGCTACATTTGTCATGTCCACCAATGTCGACGTCTGAAAACCCTTTGTGGAATAAAAAGCGTAATGTTTATGATCTAGCTAGATAAAACATACCTTCTTATATCATACTAGATAATGCTAGTAACAAATTATCTTCGAGTTCACGTGTAAAGGCAAATCTCAAACGTTTAGAATTCCGAAACAAAAATAGCCCGCGGTGCTGAAGATTTCAGTAATCATTAGTTAGTATTCTGCTGAACACTTCTCGACATATAGTGCGATAGTTTTGTCTATTTTATGTCTATTTTATAATTGAATATTTATGGAGGTTGATTATTTGATAGGTATGGGTATCAAATCCGAAAAAATAGGTAAAGTTGAAGTTTCATATTTTTAGATTAACTACACCAGATTTGGAAATGCAGTTTGAGAGTCCAGGGTATTATTAATAATTTCAAGAGGTTTTAGATAAGATGTTATTATAAAAAAAAATAACGATTTCACTCATCATTCAATTCATTCAATCACGTATAAAAAACAGAAGATAAAGAAAAAAAAATATTGAATTTGGAACATAAAAAAAATTAAAATAATAAACGTCATCAATGAGGTGACGCAAATGAGTTTTTGCTCCAATAAATGCCTCTAGCTTCACTGACGGCAAAGCTTATTTTTATGTTACAAACTTACTTATTTGGATTTCATTGAAATAAATGCTACTTCTTGAGCGCACACATAAAAAAAGTTCTTTAATATATTAATGCCCACTTCAGCTAATCACCACACCACAATCAAACTAACCTAATTTTACAACTGTCAAGAATACAATTCACACACCTGTTCCAAATACAAATTCGTAATCAAACAACCCTTTAACGTATTCTTTTCAAATTAATCGAACGCCATTTGGCTTTTGACGTTCCAAATTCAAATCGTACGAATACTCCGCCATTATTTTGAGTAATGTCAAACATTTGACGTATGAATTAAATTTGACAATTTGTAATGATAGTCCGTAATAATTAGATTGTATTACTATTGTTAGAGGAATTAACATATAATTGGTTATTGATTAGTCGATTAGCTGTATGTAATAAGAGTTATCTATTGATATAATTGAGATAATATGTGATTTATATGTGTCTATTGTCTAGTTATCTGACTAGATTGTGTTTGAGTGGACGTGTGTACGATGTATGGTAGGTAAGTTCGTCGCCCCATGACAATTAATTTTGGATTTTGTTAAAAATATAGGGTTTTGAATTGTGGTGTTGTGTTTATGGTATTTATCATTTAACACCCTTACTACATAACCTCACGCCTGCCTCCCATGGAGGTAGGCAGAGACTGTGGAACGCCAATTGCTACGATTCTTACATACCTCTTTCGCTTCATCAACAGTCATCATTCTTTACTTGCATGCTCGTCGATTAACACCTCCCCAACCTCACAATCACAACATTTTTCATAGACAACTAAAACAATACTAATCCACAAAAAACAACTAAATTCAATTGCGTTCCAAATTCGAACGCTAACAACACTAATTGGTTTACACCTCTAATACATTTTTTATGGCAACACCGACGGTTTCACACCATATGGGACAAATGCATCATTACCGTACATGTTATTGTAATAGTAATGTTTACCTTAAGGCGGCCATGTTGGATCGTTAGCAAAATTATAACAACTCGAACAAAGTATGCGGCGGAAATCGATTAGGGAATCGATGTTGTTTTTATATCATTATTTTTGTATTTTGGGGTGTTACAAAGGTCTTTTAGTAAATTGAATGTTAGGGTGTGAATAAAGAATGTTGTTATTCGTTGCGATACGATTTGACTAGGAACAGTAACAGTTACCTATGGTAAAATTACTACGCATGTTTCTTTAGTGCATACCAACATATACATATGTTGGTATAAGTGTCTGAAGGTACTTTGGTCTTTTTTATAAAGGGCGAAAATCATCAAATGACTGCTCCCGCCTGGATGAGGCGGCAGGGAGTGTCAAACTCTTACTGACTAAAAACCACCCCGGTCCTTCTCCTGCACGTCGAGCCGGTGCCCCGGTAACCCGTTAGGTTCTCCGCGACAAGGTACTTTGGTTTAATGAGAGTATCAAGTAAGGTGCATATTAGGATTAATTTTCAGATCGTAGAAACTAATAATTATTTCGAATTCAAAATTCTTAAGTCATAACAAAAACTTAAAATTTTTATCTGGTGAAAATATATAATATAAAAATAATCATGCACCTTAACCCTTAGAGCGCCACGTCAGTCACCGGTGCCTGACGCTAGTGGAGGTTTGACTTTCACCATTTTAAACTTGGCAGTTAAAGTGTTAACTGAAAACTAACTATCAA